CATGTATGCGTGCATGCGTGTATGTGTGTATGCGTGTATGCATGTATGCATGCATATACGTGCATGCATGCATGTATGTACTGTACTTGTGTGTGTGTGTGCGTATGTGTCTGTATGTCTGTGTGGCTTCATGTCTGTATGTATGTCTGTATGTGTGTATGTCTGTATGTGTGTATGTCTGTATGTCTGTATGTGCTTATGTCTGCACGTTCTGTTTGCATGACTGTGTGTGCGTGGGTCTGTATGTCTGTAGGTCAGTATGTCGGTACGTCTGTCTGTATGTCTGTCCGTCTGTACGTCCGTATGTCTGTAGGTCAGTATGTCTGTATGCCGTTATATCTGTATGTCTGCATGTCTGTGTGTATGTCTGCAGGTCTGCATACTTGTATGTATGTATGTATGTGTGTGTGCGTTTGTATTGCGCATGTCTGCGTCGCATGTGCGCACGCCATGCATATATGTGAACATACCTATGTATGTACATATGTATGTACGCAATGTAATGTCATGTATGAATGTATGTGCACATACGTAAACATGTGTTCATGATGCAGCAGACAATGACTCTTAGCCAAACTATGCAGGCTCTTCAATCTTCAGCACGCCATGTGAGTCATAGCCAAGGCCGGGTTTCATAGCGGGGCCTACCCAAACCAAGGCCTGCCTATGTTTTGGCTAACCTTCACTTGCCCATTTTTTGACCGTGACGCATGTCGTTCCTCGCGTGCCAGCCAGCAGAATTTGGATGCAAAGGCTGTGCTAAGTCTGATGTCCTTGGAAACATGCTATGCACCGTCTGTTTGTAAGGCTGTGGTCCACGGACTTGAACGCTATGTGTTGAGAAACCTCTGATGGCGTGCCCCAGCAACTGAAACTATGCAGACTCCAGGGTGCTAAATTGCCATCTGCCTCCCTCCCTGCAGCTTGGGCCGAACGCTGCCAAACGACATGCAGTGCCCGGCTGCGAGGATGTGCACCAAGGATGGGCCAAAGAGCAGGACGGGGCAGCAGCTATTTATTGTTTGAGCACGATTTGCCCGGGATTCACCACACCACCAGCATCGCCATCAGCACCACCAAACATGTTTGCTGCGTTCTATTTTCACCTGCTGCGCATGGAGTGATGGGCTCCTGTGAAGGGCATGCTGATCAACGTCCAAAGTGTCCGGCACCCGCCAATCTGTTGCCACACAAAAAGTGAAGGCCCAAGACACAGCCCAATGAACATGCTTCATAACCTTTTGGGAACCTGGGCATTTGAGTGAATGAGTCCCCATAGCCTGAAGAGGTCTGGAAACTCTCGTCGCAGCCTTTGCGCCAAGCCTCAGCCACGCTGCAAGCCATATGATGAGTCTGCGTCACACTGTCACTCCTGGATTTCGCTGTCTGTTTGACCAACGTTTAAAAGCCGCCATCAGAAACCAATGAAGCCAGAAACCGAAAAAGCAACACCTAAAATGGAGGATTGCGGCAGAGCCAACCTCCGTTTGAACATGTTGGCGCCAACCCCGAAATTCTCCCACCCCGAAACTGTTTAGGGTTTATGCTGGCCCCACCAACACTGCTTTAGGGCCTGCGCTGGCCCCACCAACACTGTTTTAGGCTTTATGTAAGGTCTTTGCTGGCCCTACCAACACGATTTAGGGTTTATGTTGGGCCCACAAATGCTGTTAAGGGTTTATGTTGGCTCCCAGACACTTTTGGGGTTTATGTTGACCCCACCCACACTTTTCAGGGTTTATGTTGCCGTTTATGTTGGGCCCACCAAGGTTTATGTTGGCCTCCAGACACATTTTCGGGCTTCTGCTGGCCCCGCCAAGACGGTTCAGGGTTTATGTTGTGTTTAGGGCTTATGTTGGCCCACCCACCTTTTAGGGTTTATGTTGCGCTCCGGGTCTATGTTGGCCTCCAGACACCTTTTAGGGCTTATGCTGGGCCCACCACCACTGCTTTGGTACACGCTGGTCCCATCACTGTTTAGGCTTTATGTTGGCCTGGGTTTATGCTACCCCCACCAAAAAGTTTTGAGGGTGTATGTTGGCCTCCAGACAGCTTGAGGGTTTTTGTTGGGCCTACAGGGTTTGATGACCTGTTTTAGGGTTTATGTTGGCCCCCAAACACCTTTTAGGGTGCGAGAGCGACCGGGGACATTGGGGGGCGGGCAAGCCTCAGGGTCCTGGCGAACATGTTTAAACACATTAGTTCAATCAACCTCCTTTGGAGAGAGGGGCGAAGACTCAATGCGTGTGTGTGTGTGTACGTGCGTGTCTCTGTGCGCTTGTGCGTGTCTGCGTGTCTTTCTGTGTGTATACATGTCTGCGTGGCTGCGTGTGTGCGTGTGTGCGTGCATGCGCGTGCGCGTGCGCATGCGCGTGTGCATGTACGTGCGCTTGTGCGTGTGTGTCTCTGTGTGTGTGTCTCTGTCTGTGTGTGTGTCTCTGTCTGCGTGTGTGTGTGGTGTGTGTGTGTGTGTGTGTGTGTGTGTGTTGTGTGTGTGTTGTGTGTTGTGTGTTGTGTGTTGTGTGTTGTGTGTTGTGTGTTGTGTGTTGTGTGTTGTGTGTGTGTGTGTTGTGTGTGTGTTTGTGTGTTGTGTGTGTTGTGTGTGTTGTGTGTGTTGTGTGTGTTGTGTGTGTTGTGTGTGTTGTGTGTGTTGTGTGTGTTGTGTGTGTGTGTGTGTTGTGTGTTGTGTGTTGTGTGTTGTGTGTTGTGTGTGTGTGTGTTGTGTGTTGTGTGTTGTGTGTTGTGTGTTGTGTGTGGTGTGTGTGTGTGTGTGTGTGTGTGTGTGTGTGTGGTGTGTGTGTGTGTGTGTGTGTGTGTGTGTGTGTGTGTGTGTGTGTGTGTGTGTGTGTGTGGTGTGTGTGTTGTGTGTGTTTGTGTGTGTTGTGTGTGTTGTGTGTGTTGTGTGTGTGTGTGTGTGTGTGTGTGTTGTGTGTGTGTTGTGTGTGTGTGTGTGTTGTGTGTGTGTGTTGTGTGTGTGTGTGTGTGTGTGTGTGTGTGTGTGTGTGTTGTGTGTGTTGTGTGTGTGTGCGTGTGTTGTGTGTGTGTGTGCGCGTGTGTGTGTGTGTGTGTGTACGTGTGTGTGCGTGTGTGTGCGTGAGTGTGTGTGTGTGTGTGCGTGCGTGTGCGTGTGCGTGTGCGTGTGCGTGCGTGCGCGTGCGCGCGCGCGTGCGCGCGCGCATGAGCGCGTGTGCGCGTGCGCGTGCGCGCGCGCGTGCACGTGCGCGCGCGTGTGTGTGTGTGTGCGCATGTGTGATTGCGTGCGTGCGTGCGCGCGCGCGCGCGTGCGTGCGTGTGTGTGTGTGTGTGTGTGCGTGCCAATCTGCACGTCTGTGTGCATATCTGTGTATGTGTGTGTGTAGTTGCGTGTCCGTGTCTGTGTAAGCCTGCGTGTCTGTATGTGTCTCTGTGTGTCTGTTTGGTGCGTCTCTGTGTCTGTGTGTCTGCACATGTCTGTGTGTGTGGGTGGGTTGTGTGTGTGGGTGGGTGAGTTGTGTGTGTGGGTGGGTGGGTTGTGTGTGTCTCTCTCTCTCTCTCTCTCTGTGGGTGTGTTTGTGCGCTTGTCTGTGTCTCTTTGTGTGTGTGTCTCCGAGTTTGTGCGTCTGTGTATCTCTGTGGGTGCGTCTTTCTGATTCTTTGTGTTTGTGTCTGCGCTTGCTCGTGGTTGTGTGTTTGCTTGATTGCTTGTTTGTGCGTTTGTTTGCTTGAATTGTTAGCTTGGTTTGGTTTGGTTTGCTTTGCTTTGCTTGTGTTTGCTTACTTGCTTGCGTGCTGGCTTGCGCGCTTGCTTGCCTGTTTGTCTGCTTGCTTGCTTGTTTGCGTGTGTGTGTGTGCGCGCGTGTCTGTGTGTACTGTTTGTTTGCTTGGTTGTTTGTTTGTCTGTTTGTTTGGTTGTTTGTTTCCTTGATTGATTGCTTGTTTGTTTGTTTGCTTGCGTGCTTGCTTGTTTGTTCGTTCGTTCGTTCGTTTGTTTGTTTGTTTGTTTGTGTGTGATTGATTGTTTGTTTGTTTGTTTGTTTGTTTGTTTGCTTGCTTGTTTGTTTGTTTGTTTGTTTGTTTGTTTGTTTGTTTGTTTGTTTGTTTGTTTGTTTGTTTGTGTGTTTGTTTGTTTGTTTGCTTGTTTGTTTGTGTGTTTGTGTGTGTTTGTTTGTTTGGTTGGTTGGTTTGTTGGCTTGCTTGTTTGTTTGCTTGCTTGGTTGGTTGGTTTGATTGTTTGGTTTGTTTGGTTGCTTGTTTGGCTGGTTTGTTGGTTTTTGTTTGTTTGTTTATTTGTTTGTTTGTTTGTTTGGTTCGTTGTTTGCTCCTTTCTTCGTTCGATGCTTCGTTGCTTCTTTGTTGCTTTGATTCCTTGTTTATCTGCTTCTTTGCTTTTTGTTTGTTTGCTTTTTTTGTTTCTCTGTTTGCTTGCTTTTCCGTGTTTGGTTTGTGTTTGGTTGCATGTGCGTCTGCGTGTTTTTGCGCTTGTGCTTGGGTTTGAGTTTGGATGTGGGTTTGGGTTTGGGCTTGTGCTTGGGTTTATGTTTGTGCTTGCTTTAAGGGTACCCATTCTCGGGTTGGCTTAAAGGGAAACCACCCAGTTTCAAAAATTGGCAGCAGTGAGGCTCCGGCGCACCAGCCATCTGTTGTAGAAGCCCTCCTGGAAAGAGGAGCGCCCGTTCTTGGCAATGACTCAAATGTATATCATTTAGGTGGGGACTCATGTCCTAACAGCCATATTGTGGAGGAGCCCCTTGTAAAAACCGAAAAAACTCCGGTGGTTGTTATTTTGACAAAAGAACACAAAGCCAAGAACTCGCAGGGATCGAGCAATGTGCAGCTTCCAATCACAAGGCTGAGCTGCGCACCGCCATGCAAATGTGCAACTCAACGCCAAGCTCGGCCTGAGACAATCAAAGGGTGCAAGCTTTGCGCTGGGCCCTGAAACATGGAGCGCTCATTCAGCAAATGTGGTAATCGAAGCTCGCTTCTCACTCTGAGACCAATGGCACGCCAAACGGTGGGGCTCAGCAAGGACCAGCGACAATCCTGACCGGGACGCAAATGAGACGCAATGAAAGGCATGCCGCACAACTGCCCCGCTGCAAGAAGCTGCAAACATTGCCTGAGCAAGCGCGCCTTGCATCTCGTTGCATCCAAGCAAGCCCTTTTTTGAGTCGCATGGACCGAGGTGTCGGCTTGCATCTGATTCAGCGGCTTTGGCCAACACGGCGCTGCGCTACTCGATGGTCTCGTCCAAAGCTTGGTAGGCATGCTTGGGAGCTCCAGTGAACCAAACTCGAGCCTGAGCAGAGGCCAAACTCAAGAGCATCGCGCTCAAATGCACCGGCCTTGTACACCATACGCGAAACGAAGGATCTGGGGCGTTTCTGCGTGTCCTGTGAGAAGTGTCATTGCCGTCGACCCGGCCCTCCAAAATCTTTCTCCACGTTGACAAAGCACATTGCAATCCGCCTTCAAACCTGACCCGCCCTCATATTCATGTCAACTGGCCAGAGTCATGTTTGATGTCCATGAGCACTCCTCAGACGCTTTCCTAAAAAGCGCGTCCTGGTGTCTTTTGGTTGAATGTTCTCCTTCAGACGTGTCCAACATGGTATTCTCCTTGAAAACAAACCCTGTCCTGGAATTCCTTTATTGAAGGACAAATTCATATTTCCCCAACTCCGCCAAACCGGGTCCCAGTTCCCCCGTTTCCCCCATCTGTCCTCCGCCTGCTCCGCCAGGGCTCGGGTGGCCTCGAGGCGGGCGTCTGTCTTGGGATCCACGGCTTGGAGGTACGCCTTCCCAGCCTGAGTCGGTGAATCCGGGGCCCCTCCGGACTTGAAATTGGGCCAGGAAAATTTCAATAGCGGGCCCTTTGGTGCACGTGATTTGTATTCACTTGTGAGGCGCTTCCCTCTCAAAATCACGGGTGTTTGGGGGATATATTTGTCTTGTTCGGCTCAGGTACAGGGAGACCAAAGAGAAGCCAGGCCCCATTTTAGGGGTTCCCCCATGTTAATGTTGGACCTCCTTTATTAAAAGTACTCGCTATTGTAGAAAATTTTCCTCATTCAGAATCCTGTGACTGTTTTAGGGGTTCGCTATTGTGGCAAGTTTTTTGTCCCCCCAGAAAAATCTGAAGAAAAAAACGCATAGCTTTTTTCTTCGCTTTCTGGATTTGCTCGGGCTCAGGCTAAACTTGCTAAGCCTTGGTAGCTCCTGTTGAGCTGGAGGCTGGTTCTGAGCTAGAATTGGGAATTTGTTTTCTTGAAGTGGTCCCCAAACCATCAAATTTAAGATAACTTCTTTACAAAAAAGTGCGGGCAAACAGTCACACAAAGGGGGGTGCCCACAAGAGGCCCAGATCCTCTTTAATGCGACTGTTTTGGGGTCCTCTTTAGTGTCCAACTGGTTTCGGGGGTTGCTGAAAAAACGACCCTTGGCAATACTAAAGTAGAATTGGCAATACTAAAGTAAGTACTGGGGATCTGAGAGTCAGCCTTGGCAATACTAAAGTAGAATTGGCAATACTAAAGTAAGTACTGCCCCTCCCGGACCCCCAGGATCTCCCTAAAGAGAGTCCCGCCGACTGGTTCCACTGTTCCAGGGGGGGGGGGTCACACTAACCAGAGTCCAACAGTAGAAACAACACTTATGGTTTGCACTCAAGTGGGACTGGAAGACTTGGGTCGAGCTCATTTGGGAAAGAGATGTGCAATTGGAAGCCGTTTGGGAGGGATCCTTGTTCTGACATGCTCTTGCATGGGCAATGCGTAGTTTCAGAAATCGATTCCCTTTTGCATCTCTTCAACTTCATGTAGTGTGTGATCAAAGTTGGACCTCTTGCTGGCACACGTTTAAGAACATAAGCATCTTTCGCAGTACCCTTGCAGTTTAGGCCCTACGTTGCATCCTGGTCTCATCAAAGCTGATTCGGACCGGCGAGGTGTGGAACAGTGGCATCGGCAGTCTTCCCATGAGCCGTTCCACGTGCGCAGTTGGAATAGGTGTTTGTCCCAGAAAGGAATTATCGTGATCGATGATGATCATAATTGTCGATCTCAACTATATATGGCAGGCCCTCCCCCCAAAGATCTACCTTTTTTAGCCTTTGAATATGTGCCAAAATCGATCATTGCGAAATCTACGCCTACTCTGGGAGAGGTATTCATAGCATCAATACATCCTCAAATTGAAGAAGCATGATTCAAGATTCCACCTCCTAGCCAAGAGGGATGTATTAACATGTATCAATGCATCTGGGATTGAAGAAGTAAGACTAAGATTCAGGGGAGTGTTTGCTTGACATCTTTGATCCCACATTTATGCAGGTAAAATGCAGGTAACATGCAGGTCCTGATGAATTGCTGCTGGCAACATGCCTTTTTTACACCTCAGTCCCTGCATGTTGTGTTCAATTTGACTAGAAGGATGCAGAAAAGGCACCTCGGCCTGTTCGCTTTTCGGACCTTCACGAAGCTTGCTCAGAAGAAGCTTGCAAAGGAAGCCAAGCATGTGATCAAGGTCTGAGCGGAGATAACAAAGCAGAAGCCAGACGCAGCCGAAATTGCGCAGATGGCGTCCTTCGCGCGCTTTAACTTTCACATCGCACAAGAAGACCGTGCAAGTTTCAAGCGGAAAGCCAGGTGTATACGGGTGCTGAATGCTGCACGCGCTTACCGTAAAGCACGCATGGCACTGTCTGCACGAGACAGCTTCGCACTAAGTTCCCTGACTTGGCTGAATGTGAAAGAGTGACTCTTCACCGTGTATATTTATTATTCATACTGGGATATCGCTCCCTGCAGTATACCTGCAGCACGTACATCGGTGGATGCCCGTAGGAAGAATCAAAGAATAGGCAAGTCCCCATCTCTTCGACCTTCAGGGACCCTTGCACCTGGATTCTCAAATTTCCACCCGGCCTCATACCATGTGGTGGGCTCAAGACGCAGCTCAGGCATGTGTTGGGCCATAAGCACATGGATGGGGTTGGTGTTGAAATAGCCTGAGACGCACGCAAGCGACAGGCGCTCCCTGAGAATGCTTGACATTTGCAAGACAGCACAGCATGGATTTCGAAGAACCCGGCTACAGGCATGTCTGCAGGAAGCTAGTCTTTTGATGAATATTTGGCCAGCTTCCTGCAGACTTTCCTGTACGGTTTCTTAGACAGATTGTGGCAGGAGGCTGTAACGAAGTCTTGCAAGCGCAGCTTTGTAAGACCTTCAGCGCATCAACCAACCCCTGGCTTGTGTGGGAAGTTGGGGGCCCATCCCCCGTCTCCTCCAGAAACCAACAAGACTACAAATATGTGTGGCAATTGCTCATACAAATTCTCAAAACAGGGGACTTCTACAAATGGGTCGTTTCCTTGTGGCTTCCGTTTAAGAAACCTCCATATGTACCAAAAGGATTCGGCAACAGCAAAACCATGAGCCGGACTCACTCTTCGTCGCGTACAGAAAGCGAATGCTCTGGTGGTGGTCCAAGGCCTCACGAATCGCGAAGACCCAAAGCGAATCGGCAAAACTCCCATGGTTCAGGTTGTGAGGATTCAATCAGTTGCTGTTCCAGGGCATGTTCCTTGGTTCTTTTATCTTCTTTTGGTTGTGAGGATTCCAAGAGTTGGCTTAGCAGGAACCCAGGGGATGCAGCTTGCCATGCTAACCCCTGGCGAAGATTTCTTGGTCTTTCCTATATAGCCAAGCATTCTCCTTTGACAAGGACTTCACCATCTCACCCTTTTGCGGCGCCCCGCTGGCGACGAACACCGCCGAATTCGAACTCCCACCTTCGACAGCAGCATCAAGTAAAACCCACAGCTCACCAGGAACGTCACGATGCAAATGGGCACCGAAGCAATCAGCTCCTAAGCACCGAAGGGCCAGTTGTTTCGCAAAATAAAATGTAAGTGAAGGGATGACCAAGCCAAAACGATGGAACTGCACCATGTGCTTTACCCAATGGCAAGGACCGAAGCGACAACTGCTCTTGTTTCAGCTGAAAGCTATGGCATGCGGTCTCTGGAGCAGCTCTGAGGGTTCCGGGTGAAGGATTCTAGAATGCGCTGGGAAAATGCTGAAGGAACACATTTCGCTGAGGCGCGAAGCGCATAGCCCTGCACGCCCAGGACGCACTCGTTACAGCCAGCTGGCTGACAGGAAGTCCCCAACCTAAAGAAAAATGCGACCCACAAAGAGGGGGTCCCTGACAGTATCCTTTTCCGTCCATGATACGGCGGATACACCAAAATATCGCAAGCAGGGAACAAGGAAACCTTGCAATTTGTCCACAAATGGTTGAGGTATCATGTTTCGAAGTGGGCTGGTTCACTTGCAATATCGACAATCCGCGAAAGCAACACGCTGACCCTCCATCGCAAGCCTCATCCCACAGTATCCACAGGCAACTGATTGCAGCGCTTTCACATGGGTGTGCGTGTGTGTACATGGTCAAACTTCCAAATGGTGTCTTTTTTTGATTTCCATTCAAGCAAATCTGACTAAGGTACGGAGCCTCGAAAAACAAACAAACAACCCCGCATCTCAGCTCTGAACCCGCCAGCACGGCTTTATCCAAGCGCGGAGTCGTGAAGAAGGTTTCCTTCGATGCCCTGAGCGCCAGACTGCGCAACTAAAATTCCTTCCCCCCCCCCCCCCGTCCCCCCCCCACCACATAGGCACAACACCGCCCAGTCTTCATGGATACCACCTGCTTTGCAAGGGGTCCTCTAAATCAGCCGATTTTAAGTGACCTTGGTTAACATAGAAAAACCTGGAGGCGGTTTGGGAGGTAGAAACAGTGAACTGAAAACGGAAGGATGGCCAAGTGCTCGCTCCGCCTGAAGTGGATGATGCGCTGAGCACAGTACATCACACAGCCTCAGCTCATTCAGCCAATGTACTTTAAGCCGTGCGTGGCTTGTATTTGTATCTGCGCCCGTGTCCGCGTCTGCCTCTGCGTCTGCCTCTGCGCCTGTGTCTGCGCCTGTCCTTTGTCTCTGCATCTCTGCGTCTCTGTGTTTCTGTGTCTGCGCGCGG